AGCAAAATAAACAAAAAAAACAAATGAATCAATCTTCACTCTAAGGCATGAGGGCAAAAGCGTATCTCTAATAGGGACACAGACAGTCAAATGCACAAGAAGTGTCTTGTTTTACATTTCCAGTCCCTTAACCTTGCTATGTGCACTGTTCCCACAAAACTGCTTTCTCCTCAATTTCATGTCTGTGTTTACCATCCACTATGAACTACATTTCCTGCCTTTTCTAAGCATTTATTAGCCTCTTTCCTAGTTATTCTTCAAACCTAGCACTATTCTCTCACCTTTTCCCCACCTGGTGACTCGGTTTAGTCTTCAGGAAGTGCAGAACAACTCAAATACTATTCCATAAAGAAATATCTTCATTAGTTCTATCAGAAAAAGATCCAGACTGGATCACTAGTAACTGAAAAGTACTCAAACTGACAAGGATACACTTCTCCTGCCACGCTGTGATCAAAGCTTCTGCATGGATTTTTGCCAATCTCAGATCATACTGGTAAAACTTCATATTATTAACATTTTTTTCTCAGGCATCTGGTGTGTATTATGTTCCTTGTCAGATGTATGTTTTCATAGATGTCATGCAACAAGAATTTTTCTAAATTAGATACCCGAAAAAGTTTAATGCTGATAACAGGTTAGTATATTGACTCTCAGGCATGAATGAGCTAACGTCATTTTTGGCTCTAGATACAACCTTTGAGAGGCCTCATAGTCGTGTCACTATCAGAGTCAACAATGATTCCTATTTCTCAATTATAATCCAAACTAAATACAGCTAAATTTGCATTTTTGGGGTTTAAAATCATAAACTGAGTACAAATTCGGGCTGAGATTTGTTATTGCTATGCTGTCAAAGTGTTTTCTTTTATAAAATCATTCCTATGAACAAAAAATACAAAGTTTCCAAAGTCAGAAATGAAATTTTTCTCTTCTCAACACCCAGTTCAGGAGCTGGGGTCTTTGAACAGACAATCTGATCTTGATTTCACCTCCATTATAATGTGTAGTCATGATTTAAGATACTTGCAACAAGACTACATGCAACTCAGAACAATAATTTAATAGAACACCTCAAACACAGTATCCTTTCTGGCTTGTGGTGACTTAGGAATCAATTTAAAAAATATACCAGTCAGATCTAGCTAATACACTAGACAGCTTGCAATATTCTGAAAAGGACTTATGGATAAAGGCAGTTTGCTTTCTGCAGGCAAAAGTCTTGCATTAACCTGAAACACTACAAGTACTGCACACCAAAGTTATCTGAGCACACAGGCTAGGGGAAGTGCTGAAGCATGAAGATGGCATCATTACTGATAGATACAACTGGATTCACACGTAATTTTAAGGATCAAGTGTAAATGACACCTTTATGGATGAAAAGCGAGGAAGAGGACAGCTGTGTGAGAAGGTTTCAGGAAGGAAATTGGAGATAAAGCTAGCAACAATACAGTGTAACTTTTACAGCAAAAATTACTTTTAAAATGTTCTAATAATTTAGGATTTGGAAGAAATTTCTTGGTGCAAATATAGAAATATGAAGGCAACTAGCAAGGGCTAGCTAAAAATGAGATATATGAAGGTAAGAACTGATGAAAAAAAAAAGGATAATGTATGACCTTAGAGAAAAAGGAAAAAAAAAATAAAGATCAGAACAACTACAATAAATGTTTGTAAGGAAAAAAAGTGGAACCAAGCTGCTAAGCAAGGACTCAGCGAGGCCATTAAAGAATAAGAGTGGAAATTCAGTGACAGATGATACTGATATATTGCTGACACCCTGAATGAATTTTTTGTTTCACAATTCACAAGAGAAGCTGAAGGTCACAGAAGAAGGTGTGGAATAAATTTTCCTGTAGGAAAGTGAAATATGAACATGTCTTAGGATCACTTCAAGGTTAACAATTAGGAACTCAGCATAATTAAAACCTGACAAAGTTGTAGGTACAAATGAGTGACATCCCACAGAAAGCACTGAAATGCTGAAGAAAAAGGCAAAGCTGACAATTCTGAACAGGAGAGGATTACAGTCGTGTTAGTAACATTTAAAGATTTCTCTCACTCAAATTAAAAATGGGTATGGCTGTAATTCTGAAGTAATCTTCTGGTGGGAAGACAAGAACTGGAAACTAACTAAAGCTGTATAACAGATCAAACAGACTTTGATAAAACACTGATTTTTATAGAAAATTAAAAGAGAAAAAATTAAAAAAGAAAAATGAAAGGAGAAAAATTTAAGAGAGAAATAATCATCACCATCATCATATGCAGCCCTTCCTTGGTCCCTGCTCTACTTTCATAAAGCCCACTAAAGGTAACTAAGCAGTCAGGCGTGCTGCCACCTGATCCCCCCCTGGGAAATCACAGATCTGCACACTTCTGCACACACAGAGTGAAAAGTCACTGAGGCTACCAAAGAAAGAAATGAGTAGGCATTCCAGTACACGCAAGAAACATGTTAATGGAGGAACAGTGCTTCGAACATCAAAGTAAGGTATTAGCAAAATCCAGTGTAAACAGAGGTAGGGCAAGATCATTCAACTTTAGATGTACTTAAATTCTTCACTGATTTTGTTTCTGTGCAACTTCAAGTTAGGGAAAAAAGGTGTTTTATATTAACGAGATTCTAAAGGGGGGGGAGGGAAGCAAACAAAAAAGAAAAGCAGGGAAGAGGTTCTGTGCTCTGAGAATTCAGTATTTGATTTGATATAGGAGTGGAGCTTGTAACAGTTTGACAACAGACCAGTGAGAGTCATTGATGTATACAAGGCAAGGGAAAAAGAAGTGATCAATGCTTACCAGCTTGTAAACTCAAAAGGCTAGAAATATGGATTAAAAAGTGAGGGAGAAAATTGATTTGGAATATGAACACTTACTTAAAAAAAGCTATCAGCAAATTCAGACGGTCTAACAAGGAAGATGATAGATTTTAAGATGAATCACGCATTGATCAGATTTTATATTTAAGGAAGAATCACTGAATATTTCAATTATGTATTTTTAAAGTTTAACATTTAAATATTAAAATGTAGTTTTCTCCTTGGCAGCTGCTACTTCAACAGTCACCTTCCCTTACGCTTTTAGTAGAAGGGCCTCAAAAGATGCATTTTTAAGGGAAGAACAGGTTTCAGTAATTTTGACAGACTCACAGATGAACACCAATAGCTAATACTGCATTCAACCCTTAAATTGTTTTTGTTCAAAACAAGTTGTTTTGAAACTTGTATATAATAGGACTAAAATGTGTCTTCTCTTTAATGACTGAATTTAGTTTCCAAATCTGGATTTGTTATTCTCTAAAAAAAAACCAAAACTCCTATGTGATTTCTAATCAAAATACCAGTTAAGTATTGCAAAGGAATATCTCAAAATGCTTTGTCTTGAAATTCTCACTTGTCTCCCTGACACTTGGGTAGCAAGTGTAGGAATTATCCAAATACTGCCTTCAGAGACTACGAACTTCCCACTTCTATGGAGCTCTCATGAATTCAACACTCACAACACTACAAAAAAATATGGAACTCAATAGTTACTTCTAGCACTCAGAATAATTAGCTTTAGTTCATTTAAATAAAAGGAGTTACTTAAACTCTTCAGAAATGTAAGACTTCTCATGTACTTTCCTCACCTATCAGCCATATTGAGCACACAGATCCCAATGACTCAATGAACAGAATGGGAAAAGGGATAAGCAGAGAGGTATGATAAAACAGAAGGAACAAGTGGAGCTTGGAGAACACTGTGAGGAGAAATGCAAAATGTCAGCAGCAAAGTTATCAGACACCTGTGAGGAAGACATACAGAGCAAAAGTCTTGATGTTTGCACTCAATAGCAACCTCAAATTGAAAATAATTCCCTTCTACTTGCTGATTTTGTGTGTCTTATAATTCTTAATTTTTGAAGTGCTTTAGTAATACTGTACATTGCAAATATTTTTAGCAAAAACTGTGCAGTATCAAACTTCACAAAAAATATACATACATTGAAATTACTTCTACCAATATCTTATAATGTTTGTCTCATTTTGAGAGGAACTATATTGCCTACCACAAATTATGTCACATAATTATCCACTGAAGCCACCATTTTTCTGGACAGTGAATTTGTGCAAAAGCCTGAAATTAACACTCAATCTTATACATGTTTGGTTTGTTTTTTTTTTTTTTTTTATATTGATCTGTATTTTCTGGTCTTGCACAATTTCGCTGGTAACAACAAAATTAACCACAGATCTTTTCAACCAGCTGAAACTCAATTGAATTTTTCTTTATTTATCGCAAATGTGGGTGGCCACTCTGACTTTTGTCTCACATAAGCGACTGCTGTAAAGAGCACCTGTAAAATTCTTCTCAGAGCTGTTACGTGCCTGCAGATCACCTGTGTTGCAACCCTCACTAGAAAGGTAGTATGAACTCAGGCTGAGAAGAAGTCTCATTTGTCCCCAGAGTATATGACTTTAGGACCCCACAAATCTGTCAAACTTCAGCCACAGGACAGCGCTGCAAAGAATAATGATAATGGTTCATCTTTGGGTATGGTCCTACAGCACAACAGTTGCAGAGCACACACAGTTCTGCACAAGCAATGCCCTTTCACGCTCTTCTGTATCTGATGAACACTGTGCCAAGGATCTCCTGATTCTTTTAGATGACAACGGAACTAAGTGCCCAGACACAATGCAGGTATGTTATTTTATAAAGCCTGAAAACACCTGCTAGAAAAAAACTGTATTCACACACACACGCACTTGTTCACTCATATTTTATACACGTGGAAAAATGTATGCTTTTTTATATATATAAACATATATGCGTCTACATGTATGTGTGTGGGCATCTAAACACACAGATACACAACATGTAGTAAAATAGTTTAGGAAAAATTCTGTATGTCTTGCATGGTCATTCAAAATTTAGCCCTTGCAAAATAATACTAATTTCACACTAAATATATGAAAATTAAATATAGCTGTTTTGAAGAAGAAAAGAGCTCTTACCTGTTTTACCACTGTCACAGTGCCAGGTGCCATGGTAACTACAGAAGCAACTGCAGTGGCATCATGGGTTTCTGAACCCAACTCAATGATTTGCTGCAGGATGTTTACAGCTGTTGGATCAAGTCTCTCACCTTATCAGAAAGACAGTAACCATAAGATCATTAGTAAACCAGCTCTCAGAGTATATGTATCTCAGTGCTGCAGGCATTCTTTCCTCTCCTGCCTCAACCCTGGCTCACAGCGCTATTTATAAATTTCAAATAGCTCAATAACATGACACTTTAATAATAGATCTATGGCAGGAAAGTATTCACAAAACAAATTTTCCTGAGGAATGCATGAATCAGCAAGCGAAGCCACACTGATCATTTTTATGACTATTTGAAAGAGAACTAGAAGAATACATTGAATAAAGAAACAATAGGTACAACTCAGAGCAGTAAGTGTAAATTAGAAAGCAGCCAGACTTTACAAATCCAAATGTGTATTTGCCAGACATTCAGCTCAACCAGAACCTGAACTCTATACCTATAACCACAAAAGCTATTTTCTATATTACAAACCTGTGTTTACCATCTGTCCTGCCATCTGTAATACCCCTCAACCTAAAACAGTACTGTTATCAATAATGCACTAGAGGAAAAAGTTAATTCCTTGAGAAAGCTCATGCTTATCATTTTATAAGCACAGGATCAGAACATGTTCACCCTTTTTTTTAAAATCCTCTTGATGTATGTAGCCCTGCTAAAGGAAAAGCAAGTTTACAAAAAAGCCTCCACACATAGATGTATTCTCACTTCTCTCAAAGTAGGAAAAGGAAAGATTTGGATGCTGGAAAATGTTTTTTGTTGTACAGGAATATGAATTCCCCTCTTGTGGCCCATCATTCCCACATGCCCAGTGTCAGCATGAGAAAGATGTCAGAAAGGGAAAGAAACTGTCAGAGTCACGTTAAAGCTGCCTTATATTTGCTGTAATCACTGTTGGAACTAGGAAAGAGACAGTAAATAGAATAAAGCTCATCTCTTAACCACAGACCCTTTCAAACTGAGGTTGATACTGTGATGGGGATCTAGGTCAGTTAATTTAATTTCAAACAGAAAGTAGTTATATTTTGTTATCTATGTAAGAAACAAGTTTATCTGACTACTGAAAAATGTTTGCTTGCTGTCGTTTTTTTTCTATATAACTGCATTTAGACAAGATACTACCATTTTTCATACCTAGAGGGAATACTCTGGAAGAGTATCTAAAGTTGGATGCACTAAAAAGCAAATCATTCTACTCTGAAAACTACAGCCTTATGCTTAAAATCAAAACTGTTAAATACAGCATATTCCATGATCATGTTTATTTAATTCACATATGGAAAAGCTTAAGAAAAGTTCTCAAGAGGTTTTTACTCATTCAGAATTCCCAGTCATTAAAATAAAATAATATACAGAAATTGTCGGTAACACAATTTAATTGCAAGATGCTTGGAAATTCCATGAAAAGTGGGAGTTTTTGAAATGCATACGTATTATGAAATACAAAGACCACAATGGTAAACATTTGGAAAATGCTGTCTTCTGATATCAACACATTTATTTATATATATAAAAACAAAACATATAAAAACCTACCCTAGACTCTGATGTTTTAACGCTCTCAGAAACCTGCACAGTTTTTATTTTCTTCCAGTTTTTGCTATTTCTCACTTAGCAGTCATTATCTAATCCCACTTTTGTTCCTCCTCAGTCTGATACAGAATAGCTTCCTTAGTTTTGTGTGCCATCAGAATTAAGTTTGTTAGTACTCTCTTGGGAACATGGTAAATGAGCTATTCTACCATGTCACTTCTGCAGTCTGGCTAACTTGAGCAAGAATAAAAATCATAGCTAGAGAATTGCCATTAGATGCACACCATCTACTCTGCCAAGATAGCTGATTTTACAATATATTTAATAATACAGGCAGGAAATTCCACATACCTAATAATAAAGTGCAAAACAGAGTGTGATAAGTATTAAAGACTTAAGGATACAGAAATTCATAAAGAATGCTCATTTCTCATTATTAATTCTTAAAGAAAAATATAACCACTCAGAAATAAGTTCTGGATGACTAGTTTCATCATTTTTAATAGTTTCACAGAAGATCATATATTACCCGGTATACTCAAAAAAATTAGATACTTATGAAAAAAAGATCTATTTTGTGTTCCAACTTAAAAAAGATAACTTACCATTCTCTGAAGTATATCTAAGGTTCTGTAATGCAGCTACAGCAGCTTGAGTGCCTTGAACATCTTCTCCAGCCTCTGTGATATGAAGATACTGAGTGGATGCTTCTTCCGAAACTTCAGCAGTTAACTTGAAAATAAAACCCACCCAAGGCATGAATAAACTCACTCTAATTTTAGCAGTTTAGACAACAATGAAAGTTATGAGGTTAAAGGAATGATTTTTGGACAACAAATATTTTAAGAAGAGTTATAGAAATACTGGGTGAAACAGAATTCAAGAAGAATGGGAGTCGGGACTTAATTCCATAGTTTTCATTCAGATTCTACTTCAAAAGTTGTTTTAAACATGCTAAATTATCTTGACTTCATTTATGTTGCATAGTTGCTTTAGAATTAACAACAGATTCTATTGTATCAGGGTCTAATAAAGACCTCTTGGGCAAAATTAGTTTATAATGCACATCCTTGGAGATCTGGTAAGATGACTCTGAACTTTGAAAATTGCACTTTGTTTTAGAATTGTCCTTTCAATAACTATGTTTTTTCAAGACAAGCTGTCAATATGTATTCCTGCTCTGATAGGACTTTTCTATTTATAGCTGTTTCAGTAGCAGACATGCTTGCATCCTGGGTATCCTCTTATTTTTTCAGGTTTGGGCATGTACTGGGACAGTGTACAAAAAATTGTTTGTGAAATGCATGTGGATACAAGACTTGGAAGAACTGTATTTTTAAATGCTTGCCCTGTCTTCTTTGAATAACTGCCCATATACAACCTATTTCAATATTTTTCAAGGACTTAACATTCTATCTGTAGATACTCCAAAACTGTTAAACACGAACTGCAGGACTGCTTTTCCAAATCAGGCATAAGATTTATAACGGGGGCTAGACTGCCTGAAATTTAGCAGAGCAGGTCTTAAACTGTGGAGGTCAGCCTACTATAGTCGACTTCTGGCTTCTTCCTCTCACTGGACACCAACAATAGCCTACTCAGGCAGTGGAAAAGACTCAGCTTGCCAACTGTAATTTTTCTAATAAAAGTGTCTAGATAGTTCTGTGGTTTTCCCATAGCTTCTGCACCTACAGTCAGCTCTGATCCATAAGAGTAACAGTTTTCATTTTAGAACAAAGTGCTACGCATATGACAGCAGAAAAAAGCTTGCAGCGGTAAGCCCTCTCAAGGTAGCTGCCCCACCCCATCCCAAACTGAGAAAATTCAGGTTTTTGGTTTGTTTATTCTAACACAGCTTCTTAGGTCTAACTTAAATTTTTTAAGGTCTGATCTTACTGATACTGTGATTTCCTATACACTTTGGATTGAAGCTGAAAACACAGAACAAATGATAGAAGACTTATTCTGTATAACAGTTCCATTTTTTGAGCTATCAATTTGCAAATTCAGTTTTCTAGATTCTAACATTCTCTGGACCAAGACATAAGCTTTCTTCATTAATTCAGTCTAAGTTTGTAGCTTTGCACATCTTGCAGTTTATACAGTGAACATTTGGCATATAACAAAATACAGTAAGTTTTTCAATTTCACATTTTTTTTTGCTACAACTTTCACCCTTTCTGCTGCAAATAAAGGGCAAGAGGCCTAAAATGCAGAAATAAGGTTGTTAATCCTACCAGATATTACAGCAGTCAAGCTTAACAGTCATAGAAATGTATGCATTCAAAATGGAGATGAGATTACACAACCTCCTGATCTTATATAAAGTCAAGAACACATTTTTGAATACTTCTTATTCCTATCCTTACTTTTCTCCCTAGAATTTTTCAAAATCTTAGGGCCAAAGACATGGCAACTTTGCTTTACCTCCCACTTGGTGTCTCCATCATGTTCCACTAGCTTCATTCCATGCTTGTTTTTAAGATGTCTGTTGAACTCCCATTTTGTACCATACACAAAGCTGCAAACAGGACACTTAATGCCACCTGTAAGGAAACACAAATAAATTCCTTCAATTATTTTCATATAATTTTTTTTCAAGGCAGTAAGGACTCATTTAATTTGACCCCATCTCAGTCAAGACACATAACTGTAATTTAGAAGTGTTTCCTTTAGCCATGTGTCCAACATGAAAAAAGAAAAAAAAATCCAGTAGTTGAACTGTCACAATGCTTAAAGGGCAATTTTGGATAATGGTAATGAAAGGAGTCTGGAACAACTCGGATATCGGGGAAGCTATAGCAATCCTGCTTCCCTGCCTGCATGCCTCCCTTTGGTGGATGTGAAGTTGCAGAAATGGTCTTCCCATCTTTCCCCCTCTCTACACCTCTCTCCCTGTGAAATTGCTATCACAGACCAGTTAGAAAGAAAGAGCAGGAACAGACAACTATTTGCATTAGTTTCAGATATAGCATCATTTCCACAATTAGGTCCATGTAAGAAGTATTGGTTTTATCTCTCAAGAGCTAGATACTAAGGGAGATAGCCAAACTATAACAGAGAGAACATAAATTGCAAAGTAAATAATAATTTATCTGCCGTGTGAGAACTTGTACATGCTTTTGCTAACAAAAGCCTTCTAGAAGTGGCATGTACATTAGAAAGTGAAAAGTTTTTTCAACAAATGACAACATATTAAGTTTGATCAACTCCACCCCATTTTTTTATCTTGGCCGCACAAGAATACTGCAAACACAGGGGATGCTTTAGTCTGTGCAGAATCATTCCCACAGTCATGACTCTCGTTGAAATTCAAGTTTAGCAGCACCAATGGAGACTACTCCTAGTTTCCAAGTTAAATTTCTTTCAAGTCTGAGGATGTTCTTGACTTATGTTCTGCTTTAGGCTCACCTAAAGCAAAGCCTAGCATGTTTTAAATAATTCTGAACTAAAGCTTTTGCCCTGTAAATACTCTTTTATTTCAAATCATAGAGTTCCCTAGAGACTATTTTTCATCCCTACTCCATTACATATCATTGCAGCTTCAAAGCAAATTGTATGTATAGTCCAAAAATCTACAAGACTAGGGTCTGTGACAAGCTTTGGCTTTAAATATTGGTTTTCTGTTGTCTTGCAAAGCCCTGGTGTGCCAGCTTTCATGACAAAGTGCAAAACTATAGTGGACTGCACTCTTTCAGCAAGTGCTGAGATTTTTTTAAAATGGCTATAAACAACACTGATATCTTAATATTTAACATACACAGTAGTGCCATACTTTAATAATTTTTTAAAAATGTATCTTCTCTAAGACAGCTGATCTAGTTTTCTCAAGTTTCAAACAAACATTACTAAGTTTACTGGCACATTATCAAAGCAAACTAGGAAGAATTAATAATGTAATGTCATCTTCACCAAACTATCTGCTTTTGAGAGCTTCTACTGTTTATGTTAACAAACAAAACTGTAAACCAAATTTTTCTATCTACAAAATGATGCATAGCATGAATTTAGCACTATGTTTACTGTCTGAATACGCAGCATTACAGGTAAAAAAGTGAGCATGACGAAATTGTAGGCATCCAATTTTCTACACTAGATTAAACAGCTTTAACTTCTTTTTCTTATGAAAGTCATTTGGTCAAATGTCAGATCTCAGCTGCTTGCAATTATGCAAATAAGTATTTCTCTTTTTTCCCCCTACTGACTAAAGCAGAACAAAAATAATCTGCATGTGATAAATTATTGCATTAGGTGACCAGAACTCACTCTAACAAATCTAATGGCTAGGGAAGTGTGTTATGCCACTTTAGGAACTATGCCACCAGATGGCTGACTCCACATTATCATGGCAAATGATGACTCTTACCCATCATGTTTAAATGCTTCAAATATACTCTCATAAATTGGTTATAATCCAAGTCCTCATTGCACATAGTCTTTTATGAATACGGTGATTAGAAAAAGCATTCCGTTTTACAGTAATGGAAACCTACCATATGGTATTCTATCAAGTAAAAGTAAATAAAATTTTTATTTTGATAAACCAGAATATAACTACATCCAGTCACTAGGGTCTTTCACTGACACTCATTATTCCTATACAATTTCCCCTCTTTGCTCTCAATCTATCATAAGTCTTCACCAAACTTCACCATTATAGCAGATACTCAATACTCTAGATAAAAATGAAATAGTTTCCCTATTAAGGGAAACTCAGAAGTTCACAAAAGCAAAATACCTTTGTTCAGAATAGGAAAAAGTTATTATCAGTTACAGAAAATGAAATTAGTCATTTCACACCAATCTGTAGTAGTAGGAAAAAACTGCTGTTGTGAAAGAGAGGACACTCTTCTGCGTTACTTTGATATTGAAACTATTATAACAATACACCAGATAAAGCTGTAACTTTTGTTTGTCATTATGACTTTAATTAAAGAACAAATAATGGAAGCATAGAATTAAACTGCTAAAATATAACTCCATGTCAGTGACTTGATACGAAAGCTCAGGAAATTTAATTTCCAGACTATTCTTTAAAATAATGAGTAACATACAGAGAGTCAACGAATTATACACCTTAATCTACTTTAAATACCAAAACTGATCTTAGCAATAAAATAATGCACACAAATATTATACAGCTCTACAACTTTTTCCCATCATGGCACTGACATGTGCTCACCACATAATTTATTTATTAGCCTAAAATATCCATAAGACAACTATTATTTTATGCTAAAAGAAAGCATGTGATGATAGTAGTATAACAGAAGTTAGACACCACAACTGGATCATCATGTATGTACCACACAAGTTGCTGCACGAACACAAACAGAAAATCTGTCTCCCAGAGAGTGCAGAAATAATGTTTATGTATGGTAGGGATGGTAGGGAGTATCAGTGAAGAGAAAAGGAACAAATTTGGGAAGAATTTTATGTGACTTGCCAAGTATAAAGCAAACGGAACTAAAAAAGAAGCTATCAAATGAGCAAGTAGGCAGGTCTTGCAAAAAAACTAGTGGGTAATGCATATATAATACTCTTCTCCCCTATGTAGAATACCTCAAATTTTTATAGTATTTATTTTCCTTTATTACTTTAAAATACTAAAATAAATGTCAGATCTTAAAATTCTGTTTAAACAAACAAACAAAAAGATCCCCAAAATCCCCCAAGCATTTCTCTGATCCTGGCTGATCCTAATTTCTAATATAAGCTCAGAAATTAAATACTGCTGTCTATCCCTCAAATGAACATGTTCTCTCTTCTATTCTATGAATCATTTATTTATTTATAAACTTATTCTAGGAACCTTGAGTAGAGTCCGGCAGTCTACATTCATATAAAAATTTCCAATTAAGATTATTTGCAATGCAGTCAAAACCCAGCTGAGGGTAGAGAAGAAAAGGTGAGCAAGTATGAGCCAATTCACTCTGGGCTCAGTGGTTAACACAGAACAAGCAGGAAACACTATGAATAGATATAGACAGCCTTTATTAGACATTAATCTTTTCTCACTTTTTTCCCAAACCCTTTCGCTTGCCGGTTCTCCCACCTTTTCCTTTTTGTCTATAGTCCTTTAATTTCAAAGGACTTGTTTAATATTGGGTCTGAAGGATCTTCTTCCCTTATATGAATACACGAATAATTTTTCAAAATTGCTTTCCAGATCTATGAATATGGTAAATTAAAACTTGATAGAGGTTAGTCAGACAGCAAGTTGCAACTGCTGGCCCAAGCAGCAAAGAAATACATAACTTGTCATACTGTACAGTATGTCCACAATGGTTTGTTTGTGCTGTGTGACCCAGATACAGAAGATCTTCGGATTCAAAAATCAGAAATTTTATTAACTTCAATAGGACTCATGTTTATTAACTCAAAATGCAAATCTTAATTAACTACAGTCTCCCACAAGGAACTTTTATTTTTTTCCCAGTGAGATGCCAAAACATTGAGAAAAACTAATGTTTCTACAGTATGACAAGAAGTCTGAAGGTCTCATTTTTATGTTGAGCCCACATGTAAGATCTATGTGATGCATCACAGAGCAGGAAATGTAGCTGGGAAAGGAAGCAGTGTGTGGGAAAAGCGCACCTATTAACATGGTTTTCTTCATGACAGAATCCTGATAAGAGGCACTGACTTCATAGCTACTACATGGATTTCAAGTCCCTTTACTGTTCTAGAACTCCACACAGTAGGTGAACACATGGAATGCAGGCACAGCGCTGGTGGTAGCACAGGAAATATAAATACTGTGTAAGGAAGGGAAGAGAGAGGAAGATGCAAAGTCAGAGAGGGAAAGAACAGAATAGATTATTTCAGTTGAAAGGGACCTACATCATCTAGTCCAACTGCCTGACCAATTCAGGGCTGACCAAAAGTTAAGGGCATTGTCCAAATGCTTCTTAAACACTGACAGGTTTGGGGCATTGATCACCTCTCTAGAAAGTTTATTGCAGTGTTTGACCATACTCTCGGTAAAGAAATGCTTACCAATGTCCAGTCTAAACCTCTCCTGGTGCAGCTTTGAACCATTCCCTCCATCCTATCACTGGATCCCAGGGAGAAGAGCTCAGCATCTCCGTCTCCCCTTCCCGTCCTCAGGAATCTGTAGGGAGCAATGAGGTCGCTCCTCAGCCTTCCCTCCAAACCAGACAAACCCAGAGTCCTTAGCCACTCCTCGTAGGACATGCCTTCCAGCCCTGTCACCAACTTTGTTGCCCTCCTAGGGACACATTCAGGGACTTTCACATCTTTTTTAAATGGTGGGGCCCAGAACTGCACACAGTATTCAAGGTGAGGCTGCACCAACACTGAACACAGCAGATAATCACTGCTTTTGACCAGCTGGCCACGCTGTGTTTGATGCACCCCAGGGTGTAGTTTGCCCTCTGGGCTGCCAGGGCACACTGCTGGCTCACACTGAGCCTGCTGCCCACCAGCACCCCCAGATCTCTCTCTGCAGGGCTGCTCTCCAGCCGCTCCTCTCCCAATTTAGGCCTGGGCCTGGGCTTCCACCATCCTAGGTGTGGAATCCGGCATTTGGACTTGTTAAATTTTATCCAATTAATCACTGCCCAGTGCTCCAATGTGGTAGACAAAGCATGTCCACCACAGAAAAGAAAATCAAAGGCTGTTCTCTCTTATCTCACTCTAATGTCTCCATTATAAGACTACTCCTGTATTCTCAACAACTTTACAGGTTTTTTTGTTTCAGTGGAAAAGAATTAGTTTCAGAAATGCATTTATCTGACTTCCAAAAGGGTAGGAGAACCTAACTAGCATACAAATTCATTTAGTTTGTTCAAAACATTATAAATATGATCCTTAATTTCATATTAACAGAATTCAATCTCAGGTACCTATTCTTAAAAATGGCCATGGACAAATAATTCCTCGCAGTGCTCAGATATTTGGAAAGTTAATCAGAACACCCATAGTGCACAGTTCTTCCTTCAGCAGCACAACTACAGAATAGACATTTTGAGTACTGACCAAGTAAATATTATGTATTTAAAAGGACTGTAGGTTCCCTGACAACTTTCACTGCCAATGAAAATAATCATAAAATTCTACTATACATTCCTGCTCTGAATTTCATAGACAAAGATCTACATTTTAAATTACTTCTGGGTTCTTGAGAAAAACGGAACAAAGAAATGTCATAAAAATAACACAGGGTCATACTCCTTAATGTAGCTATACATTTCTTCATTTTAGTGCAAGTTTAATGGAAGAGTCTCAGACTTTGAGTCGTTCTCGGTCATGATTTCAGTATTATTTTAACATGGATTAATGCCTTCAACAGATAAATATTATGTTAGATGAATAATTTGAAAATAGTATTTAGAAATAAATTAGAAGAATTATGTTTATTTAATTACATAACACAACAGCATTAATCCTCTCTTCTTCTTCAACAAAACCAGAAATTTTGAAAATCCCAAAAGATACTGTAAAAGGCTGGTAGTTTCTATTTTAAAAATAGGGAAAACATTTCCCAAAATTATCAGAAACAAAGTAAGAAACTCAACTCTACCAAGCATTAAAATATTTTCTGCACAATTTAATATTTAATTTGTCTTTCTCCTCTTTTTCCCCACTTCCCTCCCCATCAGGCACTAGAACTGAAGGAGTTTTACTCCCAAAAAGGTATCTGCCTGCATGGTCAATTGTTTGCTTTGGTTCATCTGCCCAGTGTGCAATAGCAAAACTACTCACGGGAGCCAGGCAACTTGTACATGTCTCCTCTGCTAGCACCCAGACACTGCAAGGTATAAGTTACAATTTGTGATATCTGTATCAAGCAGAAATAAGGAAAGTAGGGGCACTGACCATCTTTTCAAAAGGATATAGGACTTCAGCTGGGGTGAAATTTATAAACAAAAATAACAGCCAGGAATATAACTTTTTATGCTACTATATAAATGTGGTTAAAACTACTACAATCTGATTTTCTCTTCCTCCTGGCATTGGTGGGCTTGGCAGTGTTAGGTTTACAGTTGGACTCAATGATCTTAAAGGTCTTTTCCAACCAAAATGAATCTGTGATTCTATCCCATTAGTGCTTATACTTAATCTTGAATTTTTGATCCCCAAAATCCTCGTTGCCTTTACCTAGTTTATCTGTGACAGAAACTTCTCTAATCGATTAGGTATCTATATCTAATTAATTTTGTCTTTGTGTGGTACAACTATAGTTTTACACAGATAGCAGTAACAAGTAGTTGTTCTAGGCAGAATGAGATACTTTGGACCCTAACACAGAGATGTAATGTAGAGAAACACAGGCCTGGTATGACAGCCTTGAGAATTAGAGAGGAGGGCAGGCATGGAGTGGTAAGAAGTGGGGAAGAAACTTGGTGCTGAAGAACCCACAGGTGTAAACAAATCAGAAATGATCAGTTAAAAATATGCAAATGTGCAGCTGAATAAAACTGTTTTTAGGGACAACAAAAAACAGTATTTACATATGTGAATGGCAATATATACAATAAATTTGGATTTAATCTGCAGCTACAGACCAATGAAAACGAAAAGCATAAACGTGTGTAAGCAACCATGTAACAATGGCCTCAAGTGGAAGGGGAGAGCAAGAAGAAACCATCAAGATGAACATCACAGTCCTCCCGGTGAAGAACTCCAGATGCTGACAAATACTGAAACCACCATCCCAACGCCAACACTAGAGGAAAACTACCCATTTTAGGACTCAGAAAAACAGAAGAGTGACCGTAGCACCAAGCAAATGAGTAAAAATTAAGAATTGCGTGTTATCATTTTAATTGTATTAATAATGTTATTGAGACTTCTCATCTATATAAATACTCTAAATTTTTTTTAAATAATAATTTGCTGCCATTTACTCTTCAATCTCTTTCTTTACATTTTCTCAACCTTACCTTGAGTTCAACCTTGCAAAATTGTCACAGAAATTTATCAGTAGAATGATAGAAATTTATCACTCATTTCAACAGATAGTGATACTTTACTTATAAGAGCAGACAAACAAGTGAAAATGATAAATGCATGCAACAACAAATAGTACAGGCAAGGTCAATCAAATCTTTGGTTCATCCACCCTTAGAAACCAAGAACAAAGGACACTGAATGAAGGGTAAAAGGTGGGCATTTCAGAATGACTAAAAAGTAGTAATATTTATCACATAACACCCAATAAACTGAGGAACGTATATTGCACAAAAGTTTACCTTTACGCCAAGCTTGCTTCAGCAAAAAAAAACCCAAACAAACAAGTCTTATATGGTGGAGATGTACCTTGTTGGATAAGGGCTTCTGCCGCAGGCTCCCCAGAACCTACATTTACATACTCTTCATTAGGATGCTTTCTGTTGTAATGCCTCTTCAAGGAACCAGATATGTTGCAGGAATAGTGGCAATGTGCACAACGGAAAGGCTAGAAGTAAAATGGAAAACATTACACCATATTTCCTGACCTCTTCAGGATTCAGGTCTAAGCTGCACTGCTTTGATCCTGAGAAACCATGTTCATTTCTGGTTTAGGTATCTTCCAAGCAGACCTTCCAAAATTCAGTATAAATGGAAGTTGTAACTAAATGTTACCTACAAATTGGTACTTTTTATTATGTGCAAGACACCAAATACTCTCAACATTGTAAGATTATTACCTACTTTTCGTAATTCAGTAAACTGTGCTTTCATAATTAATGATCACAGGTCTGACCACGTGGAGATTTTCTACTACAAGGAAATGACTCAGCTGCTGTGAGCTTTGGTCTGAAAAGGGGGAGTAAGAGAGCTAAAATAACTGAAGGTACAATAAGATTGTACAACTAACCTAATTTAATAGATAAGCATACCTGACAAGGTTGACCTCCTCCCTTTCCTTTCCTTCTCTCTCCAACATGCTTCCAACTGCTTCCCTTTCACTGGCACTTGCATTCATCTGGACATTTGGCAAGCTAAGTTTTGGGAACTAAATTAATTACATTTTAAGAACATAAGGCTCCCTTCAACTGACAGGGAAAGATATTTATAAAGAAAAAAGTTTAGGAAAACAAGCATTTGTGCCTAAAGTTAGCCTTTGAGAATAACCTTCCGACAGATACGTCACAGTTATAGGAAGCTTGACACAACCAGCAGGGTCCTGGAAAAGAGTTATAGGCATTGACCAAAGTCCTTGGGGAAAAGTCAAGTACCTCAGAATGGGATGCAAAATGTTTCATGCACAGCAACCAGGCCCACCTAAAGCTAGTCAGCAGAAAATGGTTGGTTCAGAAATGTTTATTAAGAAGCTGAATTTAAAGCAGGATCTGCAGTCAGGGTCCATTGACCAGAACATTCCCCTAGGCTTGCTGCTCATGACCTTCCTTCAGGCTTCAAACAGTAAAAATAAGGAAGAAAAGTGGTGTTCAGATTCCCTTAACCTTACAATTCAGAAGGTACTGTAACATTCAGCTGTTAATTTTTTCAGAGAGGGGTACTCTCCCTTTTCTATAACTGAAACTGTCTTTTTTTTCAGTAAAATAATCCAGATAGACTGCTGTGTTGTTGTACCACTATCTATATTCCTGCATGTACTGTATGTTATCTGCTATTGGATAGCAGGATTTCAAATTCAGGGAGGTTGGAAATATGATGGTTTAAATTATTATTGGGTTGCATAAATACTGACATTCCTCTGAGTTTGATATGCATGCAAACAACTGTCCCAGAAGGAGACAACGCATTACTAACAGACAGTTTTTGAACGCCTTTTGACAAATACTCCTGATTGACCTATTTTAGTGTTTTGCAGTTCTCTTGATAATTCATTGAATAGCCACTTATATGCAGGCTGACAGAGGACTGAAAAGAGGTGCTGAGTCCACAGTTCTAAAGCTGATCCCAAGGTCAAAACCAGCTATATTTCAAGAACTGCATTACAAATACATTCATACCATTAGCCATTTAAAAAAGGAAAATTATGTATTTTCATTTACAAAAAATCATTTTAAAAAGATGTCCACAGCAAAACTACATACTTATAAAAGAAAAATTATTTGTTCAAAAAGTATCATCTTTTTAGAAGACTTGCTTCATTTTCTTACGTGCCTTGTCTTCCAAAATTTAAACCATGAATCAAAAGACTGTCTTCCTTTCTGCTTTACATTGGTACATAGCATTGGTACTTATTAAGAATGGATGAAGTGTACTCTTTATAGAAGCAAAATGATTTGTTAGATAATGAAAGACATTGTATATGAAAATAGTATGATTTCAATAAGAAATATGATCATTGCCAAGATAAAGTGTTACATTAAAATGAACATACATACAAAATACTGCATTTTTCTGGAAAAGAAACTAGTATCATTTCTATTTCCTGAATATAACATTTCACAATTCAATACAGCACGACTTACCATGCTGAGAACTAATGTGAAATTCAGGAATAAAACCATACTACAGATTATTAAAATAAACCATATCTCTAACTTAAACACTTCATAGAAACATTAACAGTCTTCAAAAATCTTTGCAAGACATGTTTCAGATAAATGGGGTGTTTTAAAATTAATTCTCTTCAACTTTCTTCAAGTCTATGAACTCACCTATAGTACATTAGACTGACAAACTTTCAGAGAAAATTAAGGCAGGAAATGAACAGTGATGTATGGGATTCACTTTCCTACTTCCTTAAGACATTTTAAGGTATATATTAGATTAGTTCTCCCAAGAACTAACAGTCAAATAAACCAATAATGTTTGGTTTATATTGCAACAAGCATGTATTTTTGGCAGGTAAAGATACTACTTACAAATTGTCCATGAACAAAATAACCCTATCTCAAAAGTCTGAATATAAAGTTATAATTCCCAAAATATTATAATATTAAGATTCCACAATTGTCACCAAACAGGAAAATGTGCCAGTTTAAAAACTGTTTTCTGGAGTTCTATGTATTTCTAAATGACTTATCAATAAGCATAATTTATGTGTTTTCTTACCTTGAAAGAGACATGTTGTTCCATATGACGTAGGAGCTGTGGTTTTTGGGCAGCTGTATAGTCACACACTGTACATTTAAACTGCTTTCCTGAAATGGGAAGAGAAAATGGAGTAACTGTTTTCTATTTAAGTTCTGAAAAATACTGATTGTATTTCCTCATAAAGATGATTTCCAAAATGCTAAGAATGAACAATGAACAGTACTAGAAGTCTGGCACTTCTCTGCAAAATTTTGGTTAAATAGAGCTAAGATCAGAGTAAAGAAGAAAAAAGGTTCGAGTGTCATCTTTAAATTATAAGCATTAAATAGTCCAGATGCTCCTGGGGGTAATCACTTGGGAAAGAAGAAAAAGAACCATTATAGTGCAGCCTAAATGGAAGAGGAAATCAATTATTTACAACTGAACGCACAGTTAGTTTGTTATTTGTAAAGCAGATTTGGAAATCCTTAAAACACAGATGTTTGGTCACGTTCACATGTTTTTACCTACTTCTGTCCCAAGGACTGAATTTTTATGGTTAAAATACATTTAAATTTTCTTGCTGTTACTTTAAGTTCCACAGAGAAGACATTATACTTGAAATTCATTTACATGCCTGCGAGCCTTCTAGTCAGGCATCAATACTGAAGGTACTAACCCTCCAACCTGAAATAGCAACAGTTAAATTGAAGAACAAGAACTAGAATTTCAACTAGTGAAAGCTAATGCTCAGAACATTCATTCAAAAATAAAGTCAATATTTTTAAGAGGGAAAGATTAATGACAATTTACTAGAAATCAGGTGGATGCCCTGTAATATGAAGTCTTTAAATTGAGTCTGCTTAGCCCTTCCTAATACGATCTACTAGAATCCATTGGAAATGTGATGAAAAATTATTAGATTAAGTTACAGCCTGTACTTTGCAAAAGACCCGACTTTGGGATCGTAAGAGCCTGGTTTTGGCGCTGAAATCATTACTCTGAGTCCTTCTTAAAGCAAAATGGACAGATTCTGTCATGATGTATTTTTAGGATTCTCTAGCAGGAAGGAATTATATCTGACATTTTTGAGGAACATCTGTTGCTATGTGTGGCTTTGCAAAGAGTAAAACTCCCAAATATATTATCATTCTGGAGGTTCTCTCTTACTTTCCCTTCAAAGCATTCTCTCTCCCAAATCTTTTTTTCCCTTATGATTTAAAATAGCACAATTTCAGTCCTTTGATTCTCTAGGTTTCAGACTCTTTTTCTCCATATTTCATCTTTAAGATTCTATCGGTCCTGCTACCTCCAGTTAAATTACAAGGTGTATTAAATACAGAAATTTAGAAATTAAAGAAAGACTTCATTCCTGTATTCAATGCCCAAGGCTGGCAAACTGTATTTGGCTGATGTGGAATATGTGCTAAAAACTACTCCACAAGCAAAAGAACCAAAAGGAAGGATGGAGAAATACAATATCGAATATTCTGTATTATCCTGAATAGATCAAGTTTCTTTAGATTCTGGACCTTGCTCAAAAAAGTTACAAGCATTTTATATTGAGTGTGAAAGTTTCCATAAAACACCTAAGAAAAACCTTAAGACAGTTTCTAATACCTAATTAAAATAATGAAAACCATATTTTCTGGTTTATTTCTAATCACAAACAGTAATAAGCCTGGACTACAGCATTGTTTTCTATCATGTCACTCGAGAAGTCTGTCTTCCAGAGAAGAATAAAGTAACTTTATATTCCACTGGTTAAATTGACCTTGCGGGGCTGATATCTGAACAAAAATTGCCTGGATTCATAAGTCAGGAAGACAAGACTCATAAACAGCAAAACATCTTTCAAATCCTCTTATTTGTGAAATAACTGAAGAACACCAGATGTGTGCGCATAAGAACATTTGAAGTGCTGTCACTGTAGAAAGGGACACTGGGCAAAGAGAAACTGTCAGCATTCAAGAGGTGGAAAGTCTCTTGACAACTCATACACTACATTCCTGGTGACAAACGTTACCTTATTTTTCACAAGTGTTTGAAATGCATGAAGAGTTTACTGGGGTGGACTTAGTGAAGAAAATTACTTAAGTCTCCATAGACAGTGAGATTCTGTTTCCACTGGAGCCAATGGCAAAATGCATTTTCCAAAGGTACAGGGAATTTCCTAGAACACTTTTGGAAGTGTAAAAAGGAAAGCAAAAGAGCGTAAGTCTTGGATTTATTTCTATCAGTCAAAAAGGGAAGTGCATCAAAAAGGAACATGCAGTCACCTCAGTTATTGCAGAAGATGATGACAGTCTGAAGCCAGATAAAAAAGGCTCCTGGTAATAACATTGCTTCTAAAGTCAAGGTTGCAGCCTGACCTAGCAGTAGATGGTAAGAGAATATAGTTCCTTGCATGCAATTAAATGTTTAAAGCTAATTTCACTTCTTTAAACCAAATCCAGGCAAGGCTTGCTCCTGCATGACTATAGTGCTACTTTTGACAGTGCCGAATTTCAAAGCAGCCTCAGCTGAATTGCAATAACTACTTACACATACATATACTTTGTTCAAGACATAGAACTAACTCATAGGTAAAAACAAATTCAACTTTCATTGCTGAACTTCACTATTCCAACATGCCAGATGGTGAAAACAAAACAGAAAAATTTTGAAATGAAACCCCATGCAGAGATTTTTTTACAGCACCACAGAAAGGGGCCATTTTTTGATTTACAGTCTGATCATGCTACAAATTTTCTTTTCATTCAAATACAATCTGCTGCCTTCTCCCAGCCAAGAATAAGCTGAGAATTGTATTTGATAAGTAAAATCTTAATTTCTTCATATATAGTTTACATGTATGTGCAACATCTGCTTGTTATTGACCAAGTTATTTCAAAATATTGGAAAGTACTTTTTGAATAACAAGTGATTTATTAACTCATGGTAATGCTACAGTAACTTTGGTAATACTACAGTAACTATATGCTTCCTATAATATGTATCATATCTATCAATGTAAAAGGGATCATCTCTTTCACTTATACATACAAATATAAATATACATAAAAAAAATAATATCTGTGACAAAAACTTCACATATATTCTAAAGATGTAACAGAGCATTGTGTGCTTTCTGTGAAAGGACAATGCTAATGAATATACAATTTTTTAAAGAAGAATTTAAACAAAATGTTCAATAAAGAGTGGAATGAGGTTTCACAAGGTTGCATGAGTAACAAAGGCCAAGCTACTAAGTCATAATGAAGGTCTGTACAACATATCCTGATAAATCATTTACTTCAATTTGATAATCATAGGAATAAAGCATTGTTGTGTCCCAAATTTTGATATAAAAGATGCTATTGTGCTGGATTTGCATCTCACTTTTTTCTGTTATCATCACAGAAATATTAAAATTACGGAGCAAACGCATGTGCTTCATGTGTGCCAACAGAGAATACACGCTCAGGCTTGTCACCAGCTGACTAGACCTGGGAACACAGAGCTGCAGCCACCTTGCCACTACTGGATTTGGCAACTCCTATCAATATTCTCACAGAAGAAAGTAGTAAGAGACTTACCCAGTGAACTATTTGTATTTTCAAATTTCTATTGAGATCAACAATTCTCTGTAAGAATATAAAGGGATATAAAGCCAACACAAAATTTCAGAAAAATCAAGTATTCCAGAGACAGCTGTCTGTCTTTCACAGAAATTAATTTTGCAAAATTTTTAATTATTCCACAAACAGTGTCTCCTGGGAATAAATAAAATCTGTAAGTAGCACTTAAGTGTTCAAATGAAAAAGTCTGAAAAACGGAAAAATATAGCCAGTATTTATTGCCCTAAAATAAACTTGGATTTAATAAACATACACTTACCATCAGCAGTATGAAGGAGCTTATGGCTTTTCAAAGTGCCTTTTGATTTGAACTTTTTCCCACACATATCACAAAGGTGTGTTTTCTCAGTGCTGTGACGATTCATATGGGCTTTCAAGTTACTTTTGCTGCGAGTGGCATACTCACAGAGAGAACATTTGAAAGGTTTGATACCTAAAAATAAAGAAATATACCATGAACAAGAAAGCTGTGCCTTTTGAGGAGAAGGCGGACATTTGCTTGAAAGAAATTTAAGATCATGTGAGTAAGATGAACAACAAAGTCAACATTTTAAAATTTGGATATATACATTTAAGAAAGTTCATCTATAACTTCTGTGTAAACGATACCGAGCTCTTAACAGCATCATTTAACTTACTAAGAGAAAGGAAGGGTTCTTTTAGAATTAAATACTTCCCCATTGAAGCCAGGTACTGAGTTTAACCAAGCAAATACTAATGTTCTGGTCTTGGTGTGTCCATCCTTTATTTAAAAGTAGAATCCAGACTGCATAAGTTGATGCCTAGCTGGTGTACATACCAAATCTCACTCTAAAAATCTTCAGATAACTATCATTCTCTATTTACTACAATAAAGAACGAAGAAACCTGCTTTAAGGAGGACTGGTTCATTAGGTACTTAATATGCAAGCAGAAATTAAATGTACAAAGCTGTGTTTCATTGGTAATTAGTATCAGATTTACTAATGGTTCAGACAGTATTGCTTTTTTTTTTTTTTTTCAGTCCTTCCCCTTGGTAAGATTCAAGCACTTAAAATTTCACTTCTCTCAAACAGTCCAAAGCATGTAATAGAGAGACACAAAGTATGTCATCTAGCAGACGGTCTACAAGAACAAAGTAAATCCTTCAAAGAAAAGTTGAATAAATCTGAACTGGCAGAGTAGCTCAACAGTTTCATGAGGCTCTGGCAGTTTTAGATTGATATTCACGACCTTAAAACTAGATTTACAAGCATGAAGAATTATAGCTTACTTTAAGCAGACTTGATTGCACACTTTGATATGGGAATAAATGTCTATTGACCTCTTTCTCCTGCTAGTCAGATGAGATGGGTTCCAAGCTTTCTTGGCAGAATAAACAAACCATCTATGGAATACACACATAATTGCTCTAAGCCTACAATTTTGCATTACGTAACCTCCTTAATTGAGTAAAGGCTACTGGAGGGAACCACTACTAGACTGCACAGGCAGGTAAGCTCAAAGTTAAAGCATTCATAAAAATATGCAGTACCAGTATAAATGTCTGAACTATCTGCATGGGAATAAACACTTTGGAACCAAAATATCAGTTCAAGAGTACCAAATCCTATTACCCCCTTTATGTGGAGAGATGGCTAAGGAAAACAAAATACTGCTCAAACACCATAGGCAATCTGTTCCATAGATTATTAACTGACTGAAGAGCATACGAGTGGTTTTCTACCTGTTATAAAAATAGACAGACGGGGTACACACAAGATTTTATCAGACATAGAATTTAAGTTCAAGGGATTTTTAACTTGTGTGTTGCCATATTACCGGCACTGCTTCCTAAAAAGCCATAAATATGATCAGCATTATCTTATGGGCTTTTCATCACTGTTTATGTCCAGGTCAGCTAGCTGTCTGCATGGTTTAATTAAAATACACACAGAATTTATATGTATACATCAAAGCAACAGGATTTAAATTGTTTTACTAATAGATTTCCAGACCAAGTATTTTTAGACAAATGTGAAAGGAGCAGCAGTTATTTATAAGAAGATACAGAAAATTACCTGTTTCAAGAGACTGAGCATGTATTTAATTCACTCCTCCTTACTCGCAGTTATTATAGAATACTTTATAGATGTTTATGAATGAATTTTGGGAAAAAATGAATCATAAACTTGTTAATTTTATAAAACACTTAAGCTGTCTATTCATGTTATGAGTGTGCAGTTCCATATGTGATCCAGAATGTATCAAACTAATTATTTAACCTCTACTGTAGCTTAAAGATTTTGATTCAGGCATAGCAAAAAATTTGAATTCCTTTTTATGTTAACAAAGCTTGTGTGGAATACGACAGTGATTATATGCCCAAAATCTTAAAACCAGAGTTTTACCTTCATGAGCCCAAATATGACGTTGAAGGTCTGATCCATTCTTCATAAAATAAAAATCACAGTAGGGACATTTCACAGCTCGTTTTCCAATAAGTCCTTTCAGCTGAACTCTTCTGCCAAGAATCTCAGAAATAGTAGTCATTGAAACCTCTGAGAGAAATGTAAAAGGTATTAAAAACCAGAAGCTACCTGAGGGAATTTGTTCTACAAGAAATACTGAAGTGCTAGATCCTGATTTACTCCAACTTTTTGAAAGCTCTCCTTCCCCTACTGCCACTCAGATAAGAGCTGAGAAAAGAACATAAGGACATTTTTTCCTTTGGGGCTTCTAGGATGTTCTGTCCTTTCTCTCCTAACCTGTGTACTCAGTGTCCTCACTGACTGGTTAAAAAAATATGTTTTAAATATAAAAAAATCTTGGGTGTGCCAGTGGCTTAGAAATCATTTTTCAACTATGAACTTTCCCAATAACCTAATTTGGCTCTTCCTTCTTCAATATTTTCAAAAGACTTTATTCAAGATTTCACCCCAGATTTCCAGATGTCAAGGATCTGAATACGACAATTCACTTCAGCCACAGAAATAATTATCAGAATGCCTGATAAATCAGAAACTTTAAAGGAAAGAACAGACTCATGGAATAAATGTAATTGGAAGGGACCTCCAAGGTCACCTGCTTCAAGCAGAACCAACTTTGGAGTTCCAACTTCAAAGTTACATCAAGTTGCTCGTGGTCATATCCAGTCCTATTCTGAACATATCCATGGATGGAGATTCTACAACCTCTGCTGGCCCATTCCAGTGTCTGACCAGCTTTACAGTAAAAATAATTTCCTGAATTTCTAATCAGAATCTCCTTGCTTCAACTCATGTTACTTCACTGTACAGTTCCAAGAAGACAGTAGCTCTATCTTCTTTTTAATCTCCTATTAGCCGAAGACAGCAACTAAGATTTCTCTCCTCATCTTTCCTTATTCAGGCTAAACACGCCCAAGTGTCTAGGTTTTTCCTTCATACAACCTAATGTTTTAGTTGTCATAGCGAAAAAGCTCAAAATAATTAAGTTTAAATTAAAACATCCCAAACACACATAGTGAAAAGATTGCCAAATGCTTTTAAAAAATAAATCAAATTACTCACTGCATTTCAGATTAATAAAATGCTAAAAATCATGGCTCGAAGTACAGCACTCATGCAATCTAAACATTAAGACATGAAAGCTGATGACTTATTATGCCCAAAATCTTATAAAATTTGAAAGTTACAGTCAAAACTTAGATTTTTACTGAACATGAACTGTCATACCTAGGCTCCTGATGACTGGTCCCAGAGTAGAATCAAAAATCCTGCCTGAACTCATATGCACAAGGAAAACAATCTTGAAAGGGAAATATAAAAGCCCAGGAACTGAGCAGAGATACGTTCTAAAGTACCCAAAAAATTAAAATAGAGACACTAGTCTGAACCCTCATCTGCCTTTTATGGCTTAGATCCTTCCTTCATGACTGTAGGCTAGTACGTCTGCTCATTAGTGATCTATGAAAGTTGATGCCTCTCATGTCTCAGGTCTATTAACAAATATCATATTAAATCAGACTGGATGAAAAAGCAAATAATCCTGAGAGATGAGACCAGAATCCAGTACTACTCCTTCACTGTTGAATACGCAAATCATCTGCCAATAAATCCAAGCTTTCTTATTCCTTTGGTTTGAAATACTGCTCTACCAAAGTCCACAGAGATTTTTGTTCCACTGTCTTCATGAGACCAGAATTCAGCTCCTGTTCTGTGCAAACCCAGAAGAGGAAGGAGCACTGTTTTATTTCATACTTTCTACTTGATGAAATAGAAGAGACAAGAGAGGGATCATGCTGAATGATATTAACAAAGGAAGGAGATGGGAACTCCAGAAATAGTATTTTAATGATAAATATGAAAGGGTTTCACTTTAAATTAATTTTTGATATGTCATTTTAAAATCCAATTCCTTTTAACAGTATCAATTTTTCCTTTCATCTTTTTTCTTATCTATTTACATTTTTAAAAACAATTGCACTCATTCCACTGCAGTAATTGATAGTTTATACCATCAGCCCCCTAACATTTATTTGGCTTGTAATTAAGTATGTTGTACGAATAAAGGATTTCCTCCTGATTACAAGGACAGCATGCACAGGAAAAAGATCTGTGTATTAATTCTCTTCCATATATTAAAACAGTGGTGTTGTATAACTACTCCATTGGCATATCTTAGATGTGGTATTTCTTTAGTACCATGGAGATATATCTAATAAACCTGGTATTTTACTCCTAAGTTCTATTTATCTGCAATATATGAATTAAAAATGAGGACACAAAATAACGGGCTGTGTAGATTTTCTTTAACCTTACCTCTATTATAGCCCAGTGTTTAAAAGAACCCATTTTCCTGGATCAAAAAATTTACACTATACTTTTAGAGGGTTTCAGATACCATATGACTTGTTAAAAAGTATATAAATGCATGAGTTTAGCACATCAGTGCTCCAGAGTCAACTGGTATTTATGGACCCCAGATACAGCATACACTAATAATTCAGCAGCCAATGGACCAGTGCAGACCAATGGCAACCTGTAAGGTCACAGTACATAATGTACAGCTAGTTCACATGATTTAGGGAGGCCGCCTATACTCCCTGGCTGAGACAGCACAAAGGCTTTGTAGGCACAGGTCTTGAGATTCCATTTCTATGCTTACTGGGTGACATACCTCCTGACTACAGTATAGGACAGAAGCCTTTCCTCATCTCAATGTGCTGCATCAGACATGTCCCCTGATGTATGACAAGCCCTCCAACCACACTGTTGTAGAGTGGTCTGCAAATAAAGAGGTTTGGTAACTAAAGAGCTAAAGTGGGAGTTGTTCTGAAATTAAAGTGAAGGAAAATGTTTAAAACACGGGTCTAGCACTATCTAGTGGCAGTAGGAAGATAAGAAACTACTGCTTTACCTACTATGTTGTATGTCTGACAAAAACAAAAAAAGTTACATCATTTTAAGTGGATTTTTTCTGCCCCAAACTCAGTTTGATCATCACCCGTATTTTCTTTCTTAATATTAAACTATGTTGGGTGATAAGTAACACTGTAAATGAGTTAACTAAAGTATGTTGGCCAATACAGACAACTCTCCTTCATCCACAGTAGCACTGGGCCTTTCTATCCAATGTAACACAGATACTGAGGAGGAAAGTATGAACCCATCAATGCAGCTCTGCCGAGTTCACATCAATCAGATTTAAATCAGTCCCTACACTAGTCACTTGAGCCTTCTGGCATAGAATTTCCAAGATTTGAGAAAGGATTGTTTACTCAGGCACAGCACAATGACTTAAAGCACTGATTTTATGCTGTGCTTGCTCTGATAAATCAGGGCACTAGAATGCAAGGTATAAACAGAGTTTGAACAGACTGCAGTGGTTAGCTTGGATCCAGCCAGGCTTGTCAGCTCCAGTTTAATTCTGGCCATACTACATCACAGCTGGTTCTAGTAAAGAGTCTTGCTGCAGACTTAGTTGGCCCTGGAGGTAAAGCCCAGCCACAAGCTAACTGAGCATGGGTAGAGTCAGCTCAGGGACCTCTGCATTTACATCAATTACCTACAGATAAAATAATGTGCAATAAATGCATTTTTACCAGTTTATATACGGCCAATGGGAATTTTGTCTCATGGGTTGTTACAGGATATCTATATGCCTAATTCCAAACTTCCCAATGCTTAGTTTGAATTAATTCAGGTCTTCTTTTGGAAATAAGTTCTTTGCCATATTAAGACAGATTCATTAACACAATTACCTGATATACTTCACAACACACAAGATGGAACAATAACTTATTTCACTCTAAATTCTAACAACTGCAAACACAATACAATTTTTACTCTAAACCAGTTAAATTAGGCATACACTCTTTCTTTGGAATGTAATCACATTACACTTCTCACTCTAAACTTTTATCTGTCTATTGCAATAGAGTGAGAAATTTTCCTTGACTTTTTCTTACCAGGGTGATTTGTCTTGATGTGAGATTTTATAAGTCGATCTTCAGAAAATGACTTCTCACACACAGGACAGGAATAACTCTTTTTATCCTTAAGCAAGAAAGAGATTGCATTATCAGTCCACTGGTGTAATCACTATAGTCATTATTCAGTAATACATGGTTCTCAACAAAGTTATAATTGAAGGTTCAGTTTTTAAGGAAAAAATGAATATATTTATAGTGAAAGAAGTGAAGGAGAAATATTAAAATATTCTAAGCACATGATTAATCCTCATAAATGAAGGGCTCCAAGTTACAACACTTGAGAATATGCACAATAAATGTAAGCATTATCTTCTGACTGACTCTTTAAAGAATCAAGAGTTGAAAGATCAAGTCACATAACAGAAGAAAATTTATTTGATATAAGCAGTAATATTCCAGGTTTTTTCAGTTTTTTCACAAATCCACCCTTCTGAAACTTAAGGATCAAATCTCATTATTCTGAAGACACCCACCAGTATGCGTATTTATACTACTACTTAATGGCCTGAAACTGAGCAGAAGACTTAACAATGACAGATGTCATTACTTATTCGGTGTCTACATTTCTAACTACTTTATAAATAATCACCATTTTATGTGTTACTAATAAAACATTATTCTGCTATTTTGATTTAAAAACTTACAGACTACCCTGGCTTTTATCAGTGTCACTGATGTTATAAAAGGTGTAACATCATCAAACAAGTTGAACTGGAGAGTTTTGATGCAATTTCTCCCTATATGCAATTTTAGTGTCATTGTAATTTTAATGCTTTTACAAACACATCTAACAACACATAAAAATGTAGGACTTTTCTCCATTAATTGGTAAATTACCCAATATAAAATAATTTTTGCTGCTTATTATATAAAATTAAGAGATTGCTCTTTCCAGAAGCACCTGCTGATGCAACAGACTGGATGCTCAAATGACTGGGCCATCTAGTCAACTCTACACTGACTAGACTAACATAGGAATGGTTTATCAAAAAAACAGTGGAGTGAAGTCTAGTGAGTCCTGAAAAGTAGGCAGATAACCAGATAATCTATTAACTGGTGGTAGATATGTACCTACCAAACTACGAAGAGATCACTGTAAAAGGCAAGCTGAAGCTACAGAACAGATATTTCACTAGTTATTTCAGGACAGAAAACTTCTTGAAGAGCATGGAAGGAGGATTACTGTATCAAAAAGAGATAGATCCCTGCATTACAAAAGAGAAATTTGGAGGTAACAAGAGAATAAAGGTCCTGGAATATACCAGTTTCCGACCTGAGATGAAACAGCATCTATGAATAGCGAGGAAAAATGTACAAGGACTTAATTACTGTCTATATGCCACAGTCATACCTCTATAAATGGACATCTCTCTTAAAAGAAAAGCAAAAAATTATGGATTTTAATGGCAAAATGTTTTGGAATATGATGTAGGTATTTGCATTCAGTATCACGTACCTCTGAGAAAGAAATCTTTATGTTGAAGTACCTACAACTTAAAACCAGAAGTAGCCCCAGAACCTATGGGCTGAAATAGCAATAAATAATTTCACGACAGTAGGATGTGGGATATAAAACTCTCATTGCCATTAATATGGAACTGGCACAAGCAGAATTCTGCCTGTGCTGTCAGAAGCATATTTGCTCCTGTGAGAAAACCTACACCAGGGACTGGAGATGGCAGCTTCTAAAGGATTGCCACCCTGAGTAGAGCAAGGACAGTATCATGCTATGATGGCGTTGGGGCAGTCACTGTTTTGAGCCCTGAGAATCTCAAATGAAGAAGGAACAGCAGAGAATACTACTTGGTTTTTGGAAGAAGAGATTCAAGGAGACTATAACGCTGACAAAATCTCAAGAAAGAGCTGTTAATTTGTGGAATTAGGGTCTATTAAATGATATAATTTATTATGCCTAAATCTGCTACTGATGATTTTGGCCTTCTACCTAAACGCATTACTCAAAAATTGGTAGATTAATTCTAATAAAACTCTGTAGCAATGTTTGTACCTTTTCAAAGACTGGGCTGAATGTTCACATTCATAATTTGACATATATAAGAAAAAGATAAGCACAGTGTCATTTAGGAGTTGTTGAGGGGACAGTTTGAAATCTGTTGACAGATCTCAGACTGTTCCTCAAACTTGCTATATAACTGGTTTCAAAATATACAATAAATGCAGAAAAAAAATTAGCACACATTTAATGTACAGTTGGGTGTGGCCGGTGTTTAGTACTCATTGTACTTCCCAGTGCGCCCAGAACACTGAAGCAAATATACCTTGCTGTTTCATAAAGTTAAATAAGAAAAAAAATCAAACCAAAACAAAACACATTATCTACACACACACTACTTTAAGTAAAATGCTATAATTGTGACCACTTTACATTCTTGCTAATATTCTTCAGGAAGGCAAGGCTATAAGCCTATGCCTTGGAGAAAAAAATCAACATCATCAGTAAATGCATCATGAGCTATATAGCAAAATTAAAGTATGGGCACCAAGAACACATCCTTCCACATGACGTTGGTAACAAAATTTTTCAATAACAAAATAATCCAAACAGCTTTCTTCAACCAGTTAGAAAGTTATCTATACCAAGTTCTGCAGTAATGAATCTTCAGTATGTGGTATCTTTTGTAGTGTAACAGATTGCAGTTCTGAGCACCGAGTCCCTTCAAAGTTTATCTGTCAAGCTGCAGCCTCTCACAAAAAGCATCCAGCTGAAGTCAAACCTTTCACTGTTGTTTGTCCAGGTCAGTGTCACAGACTTCTGGAGCTTATAGTATTAGTTTTGAATGTTTAAGTGTACTTTTGTCACTGCCTTGAGAGCTTGTGACAATGCTAGTCCTTCAGTATAATCCCATCATTCTCAAAACCAGTCTTTAAGAAATCCTCTGTTGCAAATTAAGTATTTCAGAGCACCCAGTTCACAACACAGAGCCCCAAAGAAGGTTTCCCCCACCACAGCTCTAGCTTTTCAGAGTGCCCTTGTCATAGACCATGACAGAGGCACTTTGAAGGACTTAGGCTAAGGTTGTAGAAAAACCTTCATCACATTCTCAGCATGCAAGTTTTCCCCTCATAAAAGTTATTTATTCTATGCCTTATCAGAGTGTCTGCCTTCTAAATGGCTTTGATTTTTTTTTTTTTTGAAGGACACAAACAGAAGCAAAGTATTGAGAGAGCCGGATCTACCTTTGTTAGAGACCAGCTGCACAGTCCAATCAGCTACATAAATTCCAAAGTCACTTCCACACTTCCCAAGATTTGCTTAATCCCCCTGTTAACCAATTTGAGAAAATGTAAGAAACTTAAAATAATTCCAAAATAAAGTTAGCTTTCTGTCTGGAAGTACTGTTCACATTCCACAAATCAGAATTAATTAGATCCATAAATATTCTTAAATCTAGTGTAAAAGTTAATCTACTTTTATTACAGAATTTTCTTGTTTATGCTATGTTTCATTATAAAATAAGGCCACTTACATAGGAATCAAAATGCCTTCCTCTTTCTATAAATGAATCAAAATTGTGCTAAGAACACATCAGCTATATTGCATTACCAATTTATAGCTCTCTGAAGACAATTTTGTTTCTCTAAGAAATGTGTTTCAAGATAATGCAAGGAGTAGGTGTACTAGTGTACAGTCATGAAAAGGAAAATGAAAAGTCTCTGTGTATGTAGCATTTAAACCAAGAGATCACTATGAAGTTTATTTAATGCATCAAATAGTACTAAATATGACCTACACTGCAAAACATCACAAACATTAGCAGCTATTCTATTGCACTCATCAGTAGAGACATTCTGATAACACAAGTATCTTCTTACAAACATACATACATATGATCATATATTATATGATCTGTATTGCAAATCTGCCACTAATTTCAAAAGAGGCTGTGCGAACTCACTGACTGATTTGTTACCAATTTCATTAATAGTGTAAAATTAAGATGATGACCATAATAAAAAGTGTTTAGGCCCAAATCACACAAATACATTCTAGAAATCAACAATCCGTTCCCCTCCTCTTAGTAGTCACATGATTTTATGAGGAAGAAATAAAACAAAGCTCTTCTAAATATTGGAACGCTGAAAGCATTTCCAGCAAAAGTTCCCACAACTCAATACAACATTTGACTGTATAATTTCACAGAGGAATAGAGAGCCAAAGCCTGCTCCTGCATCTACTCAGATCAACAGAAAATTAATTTCTAGTACCTATGGCAACAGAATTAGGTCTGAGTTACACTTCCGAGGAGTGAAGACGTCCAGAAATCTTCACCACAGTTGTCATGATGTTCAAATAAAAACTTTCACAAAAGATTCCTGAATTACACTGATGTCCTATTAAAATGCAACTTAGCTAGAAGGATCTGATGTACCCAGGAGGCAGCTATGCACATGTGTGAAGCAGGCTACAGAAAAATTTGCAAATGATTAGACAGATTTTTATGAAGTCTGGCAAGCAGCAGAAATCACAGCTCACAAAATGACAAGCACCTGCATTCAGTACTGCTTAACCATTTTTTCATGACATAATGACTAGTAAAAATAAATGGCTAGCTGACATTCATTATGCAAGCAAGGACCAAGAAAAAAACATTTTCCAACTGAGTGTTCAATCATTAGATCATAGATTTTTTTGGTTAACTCCCTCTTTCCAGTATGTGGCTTTCTTGACTACATAGTGGCAGTGCTTCAGAGGCAAAGGTATCATAGCCAGACCAGTGATGGTCTGAAAATGAACACTCCTCAGGAAGGGGAGATAAGCAATCAGAGCTCAAGTATCTCACTTCCTACCAAAAGCTCTAACTACAGTATTACACAAAAGGCCAGTGGCATAACAAAATTTCTAAGCATCCTTCCAAAGACAAGAATCTTTTACATCCCAAAATGTATGTGAAAGCAGATATAGGCACCTAGGAACAAGTGGTGGTCTGGGTCTGAACTCCAGTTTTATAGAGGTGTTTATCTTGCAGTATCAATTACATATACACAGTTAAAATAATTTCAGAGACAAACCTCTCCATGATGTTTATCTGCTCGGCATACTGAGTATTGTAAAACTCCCTGGGGGTTGGTAGTAAACCAACTGTGGTACTTACATCAGCACTATTTAGTTCCACAACTGGTCCCTAATGTTACCACTAGCTCATTCATAACTGCAAATGATTCTAAAGTCATTATAAATTGCCCATGCCTTTCCTAGGTGCTATGACATTGAAGTAATTCACATGTGTCATGGTTTGGACTTCTAAAGAGCTCCATAAATGCCAAGAACTGTCAAAAACCACTACACAAGTCTTACAGTAGAAGACAGGTACTGAAAATCAGAGAATATATGCAAAATTTTGGTTTTCAATCAAGCTGAGCCTCAATTCCCAGACTTCAAAAATAAAAACCTTCCCTGTAACAAAAATGTGTAGCAAATACAGCAGTAAGAGGCAGCACACACACGTTCCTCATCATCATCCCCCAGGGAATAAACAATCCCAAATTCAGTGCAAGACTTGAGTGGTGCATAGAGAATAAGATATGTGGCTATACACTAAGTGACAGGGATGAACAGTACTTTTTGATAACCACCATTTCTCCTGTTAACCAAATAATACAGGGATCTAGTTAAAAAGCAGCCAGCAACAAAGTAATGAAAGATATGCATTCATACAAGGACCTGAACTGAGATTTTGATATAGTCTATCTCCAGAAAACTTTAATTTTAGTAGTTATTAAGAACTGATTCTGCAAACTAAAATTAACATTAAAGTAGCTTTCCACATTTAACTGTATATAGTTTTTTAAAGTACTATATTTTGGAATATAATGTTCAGTGAGGTATACATTAAGTAAATATACCAAGCAGTAGGCACAAAGGCCAGTATGAGAACTGTCAAGTTTAGTTACTGAGTGAATTCTAATACATTAATTTTTGAATACACTTAAATACTCAAATATACTTGAGAGTAGGCATTAGTAAGCATACATCTGAAAGATCTTGCTGTCACACTGTTTTAATTATGAAATGCATTTTCTTGGTTCTATTTAGCACCATGAAAATGATCCTCCTGGTGGGAGCTGTTGGACATTCATCACACTTGAAAAACAGGTACTTACATAAGGACATAGGTTATCTAATTTTTGGCTCTTTTTCCTTAAGTAGTCTCAGACATCATTTACACAGATATTTGCCATCAGATGGACATCAGAAATACAGTAAAATCAAAAGCAGCTTAAAAGAATGTCTCTTATGTGAGCTTTCTGCACATTTCATAACAAATTCAGCATATGTTTAAAATATCTCCAGAATTGTGGGACAAGAGGGGGAAAAATGTTCCCTTTTTTGTTCACCTGTTTTGTTTTTTAAAGCTGTCCTGCAGTTACAAAAGACTAGTACATAACAAGACTAGGAAGTAAAGCGTTCTGTTCTGTCACAAACATCTTTAAAGTAATTTCAGCTGTTGGAAATATTGGGCAAAAGCCTATCTGATTGACTGCAGAAGATGACCTGAAATCACCAGGCACTATATGCTAATAGCTTTTTTAAGCAGCTATGCAGAAATTGTCCACATCTTGGGAAAAATTAACATGAATCCTTAATTCAAGCAGCCCATTTCACTAGTAAAAGAAAGTGTAGTAATAATATTTATCACAGTACTTTAAGTGAGTTGTGATGTTGCTTTATCATGTGATTAGGAGGAATTTGTCATATGTGGTGCATTCTATCAAGGGAGTGTAAGATTTATTTATAAGACAATGCCAGTGAAAACCATAATGTTATGTAAAAAATGAAGAAAGGCCCATCTGTGTGAATATTTCCTTGTTCTTAAAGGACAGAAGAGTGAGTGTTGCAGTTAAACAACTTGTATTTTCTCCTCTGCTGCAATAAGAATAAAAATAAATTCAGGAGAAGGGTAAATAGCCTTTTGGAAGTATTTTACCGCATAAATTATTAAAAAGCCAATTTTCAAGGATATAGTTCATACCAATTTTCCAGCATTATCAGTCAAGAAAGTTTAATTACAAATAGCATGCTTGTCAAACATTTTATGAAATCATAAACTGTACTTTATTCAATACCAGTACTTTCATATAAAATGGTATGAGGTAATATGTTCCACCTAAGCACTACAGATGGCCTTCAAGAAAGACTCCAGTCAAAAGTGGACTAAATTCATTATGTCAGGAGAGCAAGCACGTGTCATTCACTCTTTTCCAGAAGTCAATTTGGGATGGGAAGGAACTTACTTGTGTTCATACACTGTGTGACTGCATGCACATTACAACTCTGGGTATACACAAGTCTAGAATGTCTCAGACCAACTATACCTTACAAGCAGAAAGGATCCTGACACATGGTAGGAAAAGAAGTCCATGGTAACGCAGATCTTTTCTGGCAATAGCTTAACCAATCTGGACCACTCATGCAAAACAATAAAACAACAAGAAAAAGCTAGGCAACACTGATGTAAAGAAAATAATTGTTTTTTCTTAATCTTCCAAGAAAGGCGTGTAAATAATTTCACTTCTATAAAAAGCATCTTAATCAAGAATGAAGAATTAAAATCTCATTCCTTAGTTTTAAAATATTTCTCATTCTGAATACCATAATATATTTTTAAAAACATACTCTTGAAACAAATGCAAGCACGGTTGATGTAGAAAACAATTTCCTCAAAAGATTATTCATGTGATGATGTTGGATCAGAGCAAGATCACAAAGCTATGTCTTCTTACTGGCCTTCAGTCAGGCAAGCAGCCCATTGCATAGTCTCAAAGAAAACATGTATGGAAGAAGTAGACCAGACCTGTTTCTAACACAATGGCATTCAGAGCTGGAAGACTTACTGAATAATATAGGAGCCTTTAAAACATGATCTCTTCATCTTTGTAACCACCACAAAAAACAGCAGATGTTTAAAGAGATTGGCTGCAACTAGGTAGAGCTATTAGGAAAGAAAAATATTTTCAACAACTTAAACTTCTTCTATCTATAGTAATTAAGAGAGGAATCATCTATTTATGAAGGAAGGAAGTTCAGGTCCATGGAATGAAGCGAAGTAACAATAGTACCAGACCTCATTTTACTCTCTCAAAACCCAAAGAACCTGGCAATACTGGGAAAACCAAAGGGAGACAATGGATACAGGCATACTCTACTGGAAACTACTAAGAGAGGGACCAAATATCGAGTTGCTATAACTAATGTATTCCCAACACAGAAGTATTCAGAGACGACTCAGGTAAGAACTCTTACCTATGTCTTCAAATATTGCCACACAATTCCAAACAGCATGATGATGATGACACTGCATTTAGACAAACATACCGTTTTGTCTGTTACTTACCAGTTCCGTGTGAACTTTAAGATGTGCCTGGAGCTTGTATTTATCTGGTGTAGAGTAGTCACAATGTTCTGTGGGACATTTCAGCAAAATATTACTGTGCTTCTGAATGACGTGACGCTTAAGGCAGTTTTTGGTGATGGAAGAATAACTGCACTGGGAGCAGTAATATAAATGTTCTCGAGTATGCGTACGAACATGCATGTCATAATGCACTTGGTACCAGAACAACTTGCCTGAAAATAAAATTAGACACGAAGAAAGTAACTATATGCTAAAAGAGATTGTCAAAATCTTTTTTGTTACTTCCTTTCATGCTACTCCTTCCTAAAAGGCTTTCTGACATAATGGCACCAAAAAGTGCACAGTAATTCATCTAATGTATAATGTTATGGTATATAAAACACTTTTTTTTCAAACTTTGACTCCTTTTCCTTCTCAAGAATGAAGACTACAAGATAGATCCCAAATTATTTCTTTTCTAGTTAAGTAAACGCAAAAATTTTCAGTTAGAATAAATGGGAATGGTGTATTATTCCTACTTTCATTAATTCAAAAAAAAACCCCAATTGCAATCAGAACAGTCTTCACCTGACACTATGTAAAGAAAATCTTAATCTTAAAAAACTTGTTTCGAAACATGTCACAAAAACATGCCACTATATTCGTATTTATTGTACAGAATGCATATTATTATACATCCTCCCATACTATATGAAAAAAACTGAAATTTATACTAAGCTGATAATGAAGTTTAAGCATTAAAGCATGGACTGACTAATTCTGATCACATGCCTAGATCTGCTGTGCTTGGTCCCTGTGAAAGTTATGAGGTGGGAAGAGGCACGTGCACAGAAATACTCTGATTCCATCAAATTTCACATCAACAGAAAATTAAGCCTATCAAAGCATTGCTTTGCTATATTCTGCTAGTGGATTTTTGAGAAGATTTGAGTCATTTCATGCTGTTTATACAGCAAAAAGTAAATCTTGCTGGACCCCAGAATCCATACTGAACTATGGAATTAATACTGCTATGAAGATACACAAATCAAACACTATAAACCATAGGAGCAGAAAATAGATGGCCCACTACATAACATTTAAAAAAAACAAACAAACATAATTCTACTGTGCCTTACCACAATATTCACATTCTAAGTCTCCATAAACCTTCCTTATCCTCTCACACAACTCTGTGTTCATTTGTCTCTTCTGCAAGCTATCCAAGATCTGCATAAAAGCAACAGCTCCACTCCCACTGTCTGATGTAACCGCATTAGAAGAGGCTGCCTGTGGACTGATGGCTGCATTAGCTTCTGGTGCTGGCAAAGGATTTGTGGCTTCTGCTGAACTGTGAATTGGCGGGTTGCTTGTTCCGGATTCACTAGAAGGAACAGATTGTTTTCTCTCTTCAGAGACTGAAAGGTTCTCAATCATTGTATTGTTCTGACTTGGATTTAAACTTTTGTCCTCAGACAGCAAAAGCTGAATTTCTTCGCCCCGTTCATTTACAGAACTGCAGTGATTAAATTCCTCTTCATTTGCAGGAGAAACTTTTAACTCATCAGGACCAGAAGTACCATTTTTCAGCAGAAAGCAATCTGACGCTACACAAGACTGAATGTTTGGGACTGCTATATCTGTTGTCTGACACAGCGTCCCTGTTACATTCTCCACCAGAGGATTTTCAAATTCTAAGGAAGGGACCGTATCAATTTTTAAGTCCCCATTATGTTGACCATTATGGTTTACATCTGCAGCTGCTGAATCACCTTTACAAGCAGACGGTTGTGGTATGTTAATAGCATTGGTACTCATGACAGTCAATTCATCTGCACTTTGTGACAACTGTTCACCAAGGGCTTCTGGCTGGATATCACCTCCTGGCTCAAGCAGACAGAAACTTTGATTGATAGAACTGTTAAAAACAGAAGTTTCCTGCAAATCTGCATGCACATCTTTGATGTGAGCACGAAGTCTTACAGAACTGACAAATTTTTTCAGACACACAGAACACACGTATACAAACGGGTGCTTTCGAACATGAAGCTCAAGGGCTTGGTATTTAGTGGCTCCATGACCACAGAGCTCACAAGCAAAAGGCCTTTCATCACCATGAACAAGCATGTGACGGTCTCGATCAAGTTCATTTTTGAATTTGCGTTCACAAATATGGCAGTCATAAAGAAGTTGTCTTTTGCCCTCTCGTGTCATCAAGCGAAGCTCATCAAAAACATCCTTCACCTTTTTATCTTGAAGGTCGTGCGTTTCCTTGATATGTTTGATCAAATTTTTAACGTCTGAATATTTCTTTTTGCAGAAGCGACAATGCTGCTTAATTTTCTTATGAACTCTTTCAATATGGACTTTGAGATGGCCTTTGCTGAGACAAGTGAACGTACAATAATCGCAGCTAAACTTCTCCCCTGTATGTTTTCTCATGTGAACATTAAGGTTGGCTTTGATTGCACTGGCATAACTGCAGTATGAACACTTATAAGGTTTTTCATTTGTATGAATCCTCAAATGTGCTTGGAGGGAGTGTTTAAATTTGAACACCTTGTTACAGTATTCACATGTAAAAATCTTCAGTTGAGTTGGACCCAGCCTAAAAAAAAACCCAAACCAGTTATATTTACAATACTGACACTTTGTCACATAATATGTCAAAATTTCCCTAGATGTTCATAATGGACAGAAATGATTAATTTATTTTAAAAAGGTATTCTCCACAGGCTTTTTAAATTCTACAATTTAGGCACAGATTATTTTCAGCTATTCCTTTATTTAAAAAGCTCAGAAAATATTTCAGTTTCATGAAAATGGATAGGGGAGCATTTCATTCATATTTTGCGTGAACACAAATCGAAGTACTTCAACATTACCTGCTTGATTTCATTGCCTGTTCATATGGGGTTTGCTGAATGGCATATTCTTGATAACCTTTCCGTTGTGATGGGTCTTGAACCATTGCCTCTGGAGTTGTGGGTTCACTTTCTTGGGGAGCAGCCTCAACAGGAACAATTTTTGTGGCTCCTAAAAGGAAGAACAAAAAATGCTCATTAAAAACATCATATTAAAACATGCATTGTCTATAATATACAGGTGTAAACAAAACATTACATTCTGCAATCATTAGTTTAACTATTTTAGTTTCTTTTGTTTAATTTATGGGCATAAAATGATGGATACACTTCCAGAAGACATCAGTACTAACACCACAGATATCCTTAAATAACACGCCAGGACTGCTGACCCTGAGGGTTATTCATGGTGCTTGATGATTACTGTTACAAGATCCTGTATCCAAATACTTGCACCTTTAAAAAACTGTAACTTTCCAAAATTAAATTTTATTTTTTCTGTTTCTTCTTCATATTACGTCCTTCAAAAACTTCAGCCAAGCTGTTTAATCCATTACACAAATAAGGCTGAGGAAAAGACACTAATTAGTCTGTATTTAAAAGTCTGCACATCTTTTCCTTAAACAGGTATTTTACTGTTTATATTTTAGGCCATGCTGTCATCCCCTAATTATAAAAGAGTATGTTCCACGTGCACTTTTTGATCTCTATTAGAAGGAATAAAGGGGCTCTACTGAATGCAATAGGATCAGATTCTATCCCTCAGAGCTTTACAGCTAGTTGAGGCCAAAATAAACATATTTTGAGATGTGATTGAGTTGAGATTATTTAGCTGGGTGTTCTTTATTTTCTGAGCAGTGTCAGGAAAAACTTAATGCCAGGCACCCATAGTTAGTATAGAAGGTAATGAAAATCCATATAAAAATTAATTTGCACTGAAAAAAACAAAACAAAACCTCATGTATATCAAACCAAGCACCCATTATTGATTGATCTCCTTTTTTAACTTATTTGTCTGTCTGTAACTCATCTACCCATTTGTTCAATGGAAATGCTATTATCTTCAGAAGTTGAAATTATATATATTTGTATATTTATGGATTTATTCATATATATATATATTACAATTTTATATATATATATATTTGTGAAATCTTCATATTCTACTTACAAGTACTGAAGAAAAATCTATGAAAAAAAAATTTGCTTTCTGGTCTGATACTAAAAAATTAATAGTAAATGAGGGACCATATACTGAATAACATAAAGAAAACAAGACATTGAATGTGTAGTAATAGATGAACACCCATCCATCCTAGGAAAAAAATATTACAGGACCTGTAATTAAAGCTTGTTCTATCATATACTGGGTATAAGGAAGCAAGAGAGGTTGCACATGAAAATATCTTTGAGTCAAATAATGAAGTTAACAACTTAGGTAAAAATGAAATTTGATAAGCTTCACTTTAGTTTCTTTTTCTTGGATATTTGTGCTAGGTTTGTGTGTGGTGGAGTTTTTGGTAGTGAGGCAGGGGGCAGTGGCCCCCGTGACAACCTTCTCAAAGTTCCCCTGGCTTCAAGTCAGACCTGGCTCTGGCCAGGGCCGAGCCAATCAGCAATGGTGGCTGCGCCTCTGTGATAACATATTTAAGAAGGAAAGTCCGGGAGGGGGAGTTGGAGTTGTGAGGAAGACACCTATGCGATCACTGAGGTCAGGGGAAGAAAGGAGGGTGAAGCAGGCTATGTGCCAGAGCAGAGACCCCCACCCTGTATCCCATGGTGAGATGGCAGGACCACCCCCCCTGCCACTCATGGAGGCCCATGGTGGAGCCGATGCCCACCTGCATTCCGTGGAGGACCCCACATTGGAGCAGGTGACTGTACTAGAAGAAGGCTGGGACTTTATGGGGAGAAGCTCCTGCTGTTGTAGTTTGGGGCTGGGAGGATTGCAACACGCTTGGGGGGACCAATGATGGAGCATCTCAGGAGGAATGCATCCCGTGGGAAGCACTCATGCCAGAGAAAGTTTGTGGAGGACTGTCTCTTGGAAGACTGTCTCCTGTGAGAGGGACACTACACTGGAGCAGGGGAAGAATGCAAGGCGGGGAAGATGGAGGAAGAAGCGGCAGGATTGATTGTAACCCCTCCCATTCCCTGCCCCCCGCATTGCTGGTGGGGAGAAGGTGAAGAAACAGGGAATAAATCTGAGCCCTGGAAGAAGTGATAGGTGGTGGGAAGATGTTTTTAAGACGTTGTAATGCTTCTCACTTTGTCTGTTAAATAGTGTTGTTAATGTTTGAATTAAATTGATGTTCTTTTTTCTTCCCCTAAGTCTGTCTTTTGACCAAAATAGGTGACTCATCCCTCCCTGTCCTTATCTCAATTTCTGAGCCTTCTGCTTTATTTTCTCCTTCCCATTCCTGAGTGGGAAAGGGTGAGTGAACAACTGCTGTGTAGTGCTCAGTGGCCCTCTGTATTCAAACCAGGACAGTATTATATTAGTGTCTGATCTCATTTCAATCCACCTGAGTAGAAGCTGAAGGGAAAAGAAAGTAAAATATACCTTTATGGCAGCAGAAAAAAATTACAATAAGAATCAAAGAAATCTGAGACATGAGAGCCTAGAAAGCAAAAGACAGAGTCAATATACCCAACATATTTTTAACAGATTCTCACTGTTATTCATATATAAGTATATATAAAATGAAACATCTGAATAGAAATGAAAAAGTTCAAAGAATGATGCATGAGCTATTCCTTTAACAAAAGGATGAAATTAATTCTAGTTCCACTCAAACAGCACATTCCTGAATATATTATTTACAAAATATATGCAGTATTAATATAAAGTCTGTGAAATAACAATTATAAGAACAGCAAAACAGAGAGTACATAGCCCAGATAAAACTACCTGGTTAGCAAATTACTAAGTCTATTTTCCCTAAAAAAGCCTTTCAGCCTGCAGACCAGCAAAAACATAAAGAAAAAGGCCGGTAGAGTACAGTTATAGAGAAAAATCAGTAATAAGTGGGGGTTACCCAGCAATATGTGTGAAAGACTTAAGGACATTAAATTGAGGAAAGCAGTGCTGTAGACAAGACAAGAGAGAAAGATGGAGATCTGGGTACTTCAGAGTGATTTAAAGTGAGATATTTTGAGAAGAGGCCATTTGGAAGTATGTAAGGCTATTGAAGCTTTTTGTATCAGATGGGACATCAGCCAACTCTGTAAATAAACAGCCTGTAATAGCTCTGCTGCTCACTGAACTGGATGGATCTAAAAATGGCTTTTTTTGACTACTGCTTTTCAATAATGCTTTAAGTTCTGTACTAAAGATTCTGTCAGTTGATCAGAACTGATCTTCCAAGTTTTCAACCCAAACGTTACCAGAATATTACAACTTCTATTCTTCTTGTCACTCCCTCACCCAGAAATGCCAGGTTGTCCAGCAGGACAGCAGCCCCCAAATTGCACTATAGTAGCCCAGTGAGATGGGAGCTTGTCATTACAGTACAGGGGACATGGTTCAACCAGTGGGTTCAGTACAAAGATGGTAAAACAGACACCAGACTGGTATTCCCATAGTTCAATATTTTTAAAATAGAAGCAAGATCCCCTTCATTTAGAATGACCCAGTTAAAATAAAATAGATCTTTAACTGCTCTACATACATTGCTACCTCTTCCAGGCCTCCCCTCTCCTGAAGGTGAGACAAAGATCCTCATTAAATGCTCTGCAATGAACCTTCTCTGTGCCCTTCTGCCTTTCAGGATGTTTAAGCATTTACTGAAAAGACGGTTAAACTGTTTAATAGACTGCTGTGTTCTCAGTATAAAATTTTAATCATCTAAATTAGGTGGACTAGATAAGTACTAATTCACCAGTATTTTGCATACTTGAAATCATCCTAGCACTATAGCCTATATTCCCCATGCAGTTAACAGGCAAATACCTCTAAAAACTTTAAGAGGGAGATTCAATTCTTCGAACATGGGGACATGAGTATTTGCTCACAGTAGGCAATTGCATCTCCTCATGTTAGGAAGTTACCTCCTACCCTTAAAAGATATGGAAGCATTCATCCACTTGGGATGCTGCCTAAGTATGAGCTCCTAATGGACCAGTAGCCACAGCAATCACTGCTGTGTCATAAACTAATGACTAAAGTATATGTCCAGAAAGTGAGAAACTTGTTTTCTAGGATCTACCCAAGCCAGTGGATAGTGAAACCACGTCCTACATCCCAAAACAATGCCCTCAATATTCACAACTCTAAAAGCAGCCACAGGCTCGAAAAAAATGTAAGAGTAAGGCAAACAAGATACAAGGGCTGGTTTTCCATTAAAAATATCATATGCCGATAAGGACGGTAAAAGTTTTCCTAACTGCTTCCCTGGACAATAATTTCTAGAAGTCAGAGTATGCAAATACCAGGGGAAAAAAAAGAGGCTAACTGTACTGCTTATTTCTTTTACAAAAATTCTTCCTCCAGCACTACATCTCCATTTTAAATGCTGAATGGACTTTAGTTTACTAGACTTTATTTATGCCTTTTGCTTTCCTCTTTTCAGTCAGTAATCATCTGCTCTGAGTAAATCTGCTTTAAGAGTAATAAGATTTGAGTTCCTCATGACATTCTGACAACTTCTACAGATAAGCATTACCCAGTGTGCTTTATCTCTGGCTCAAACTCAGTGATGGCCTCTAATCTCTTACAGTCTATCTGGCCCTTAGAAAAGTAGCTTGCCCTTCACTACAGAGCTCTCCAATACTTATCAACAGTCTAAAAGGTATTTGCAATGGAAGGAATTATTAGGAATGAATCAGAAATAAAACAGGAAACATCATCAACCAAATTCCTAGTAAAATCCATCTAAATTCTGTGAACCTCCTACAACTTCACGTATGGGCAACAAAAAGGATATAGAAGAACCAGGAAACAGTAACAAAGACAAAATCAGAAGTATTTTGTATGGAAAAGGGACACATATCTCAGACACCTTCAGCTTGGAAGAAAGATAAATGAAAGAGGAATATCAGAAAAACTTCTACAATTAATAATACTGTAAAAAAAGTGTGAATAACCATTCTCTATCTCATAAACCACGAACAAAGAGCAGCAAAGAAATAAGCAGTCAGCAGACTTAAAACAAAATAAAAGAATATACACTT